CTGACTGATCTATTTAATACAAATGGATAGAAAAAAATCCAATGAAACAAAAAAAATAAAGCCATAATTTAGATAAGCTAACAGAATGACCTAAGGATTAAAATATGCAAATACTTCCATTCAAACATTCGACTCACATTTGCAATCCATGAGTTTGAATTTTTAAAATGTGGGTTTTCATATTGTGCCCAAGACTAAACATTCAGCCTTAGGCAGTGAGAAAGAATGTTTAGGTGATGGTGGGGAAAAAAATGAAGGTCTTAAGAAGTTTAAATGCAAGTTTACTTAAATGCTCACGATATAAAGGCCAATATTATTGGATAAACAATAAAAATCTCTTTTTAGACAAAAAAAAGCACTATTAAGTCTGGTACTCATTTCATATATCTCTAATTTTAAAAAATGTGACCTATTCCTATTATTGAAAGAACTACTTATTTTTTGTTAAATTAATGAAATTATAAAAATAAATTAATGTATCTATGAAAGGAATGACAATTAATTATGTTTAAAACGAACAATGCTGTTAAGCAAAATGTATTTTTAAATCTCTGTTCAATTAATGTCAACAGACAATGTCAGAAAATGTGTGTGTATTCTATGTTGGGGAAACATAAGAGTAGGAGAAATTTTCTTTTGAAGTTTATTTTTATTACTGTGAGTGGTTTAGCAGAATGTTTACAGACTAATTTGTGGGGTGTTTTGGGGTCAGCTTTTAAAATGCCTTCATGATGTGTCATTTCTCTCAAATAGCTTTTTAAGAATTTGAACTATTTCTTTTGTCTCTTCAGTGCATTTAAAATTTAAATAATGTTTTTTTTCCCATCCATCTAGATAAATTGTTACTTAACAAAGAGATGTCTTCATCTCTGAGCCATTCCTAAACTCTGAGTTTTATGCAAATAATAATTTTTAAATAATACAGCAGTATGAAGTACAATAATTAGAGACACTTTCATTCATATTTGTATAATCTCCATGCAACAGATGTTTTAATTTCTCCCTGTTTTCTCTCTATAAATTTGCTACATAATTGTAACCATAAACATATAAATTGTGTTTGACTTTATTTTACATATTTCTTCCGTAGAGTTCCACACTGCCTTGTCCCACTGCCTTCCTGGTTCACGGATTTCCCATTCTCATCCTGACTTGAGATTAGATCTAAAATACACAGGTTGTAGATTCTTCATAAAGCCGGGATGAGCCTCAACACTGAGGAACCATCATCTGGGCCACAAAGTGGCCCATCCAGTGGCTGACTTTGGGAGCAAATTCAGTTTTCTTTGGCACAGGTTAAGTGCTAGAGTGACTAATATAATTTAATCCGCTCAAACACTATCACAAAGAGTCTGGTTTTTCTTAGACTAGAAATCCGATCAGCATCCTCATTATTTCTTGCCCGAAGTGTCACAATCTCGAGTCTTTCTTCCATTAGCCCTTGCTGTCTTCAGCGCACCGACTGCCCTGGTGCCAGAGGAGCCTGTCAGCACGGTCCTGTCTTCCTCCTCGCAAACGCCGTGCGAAGTGCTTCGCGTTGACTGCATGCTAATGCTCAGATCCCTTAGCATCACTTTCAAGATCCGGCGTGATCTGTCCTCAGCATCCTGACTCATCCGTGAAGACATCCCTCATTCTTTCAGACACATTCGGGCATCCTTCCTTTGGGCTCTGCGTCGTCTGCGAGCCATCTTTTTTGTCACTTGTCTCATTTGAGTCTAATCGTTTTATCTATCTGTCCACTGGTCTGTGAATCCTTAAGGGAAGAAACCGTAATGCATTCATCCTCGTAGCATAAGTCTCTCTCCCTTTCTCTCATGCAGTTCCTGTCTCTCCTAATCTCCTGTCTCCTTCCGTGGACGTCTTGACGGGTAAAACAAGAACAGTTAAAAAGCCAATAATCATGGCAGCAGTGATGATGAGAGTATTCACCACACCCTTGCCGTTTTCAGATATAAAACCATATTGAGTGCTTTGCTGGGGTTGTTTATTTTGATTCTCAGTAACACGCTATGAAGAAGGTGTATATGTTTTTGCTTCTGCAGCACTCCGCATGAGCAAACTAGTCTTCGAGAAGTTAAATAACTTGCCCATGGTCACACAGGTAGGAAGTGGCAGAGGCGAGAGTCTGATCTATAGAGTGTGATTTTTCAACATTTGAGAAGTAAATTGTAAGCACAGGATATGAGTGAGTTCTCAGTATGTTCTAATAGAAAAACATAATTTGCAGACATTTATGTAGAAACTGATAACCTTACTGCTAATAGCCTACTGATTAGACTAAGGCTATTTTTATATGTACAGCATGCACAGTGTAAATATAAATAAAATCCATGAAAATAGTCCTGATCTTGACCATTTCGCATCTCCTGTTACACTGTAAACATTTTAGAGACTAGGGTTTGCTGGTTGCTTTAGTTCCCCTTTGGATCCTGGCTTAGAGTAATCCCCAGTAAGCCCTCAGGCTGCCAAACATCAGCTCATCGTCCCCTCCCATCATGAAGGCTGAACATTGTTGCTCCATGTTCTTGAGAACATGAGTGAACAGAAGGGGTACCTCCACATCCCATGTGTGGTATTCATTTGAGCTGACACAGAGAGAATTTATGAAAACATTTTTACAAAGGAAAATCTTTTTTTTTTTTTGCACATTATCTGTCTTGCATCCTCTTATGTCTGCCTTTTTTTCTGAGTGGATTGTATACAGTTGTTAAACATCTCTTTAAAGCCATAAACCTATTGATTGCTGATAGTGTATTACTCCGAATGCAACTCTGATTTAATTAATAAAGAAGTCATATGGACAGTGTCTCCTCTTAATGTTTAAAAAATAATTTGCCTTCTTGGGAATACCAATTACATTCTCAGAGCATTGCCAAGTGTGATGTTCTGCACAAGTAGGTGCAATTACCCTGAATATGAGAAGGCAGAGTAATCTCGGGCCTTTGGCTTTGCCTTGGAGAGTGGGTGGCTTACATAATTCTGATGAGGTGTGCCACATGACTTAACACTTTTTCCCAGATTTGTTTCTTATACGTGAAAGCAGCCACCTCACTTCACTCTCTTGGAAGTCACTAACAGATCTGATTCATATGCTGCTTTTTAAAATCATTTTACATGATCCTAAAAAGGAACTTCATATTTTTTTCTAGTATTTTTATGCCCATTTCATGGTACCATTTTGATGATTTTTTCCCAACTCTTTTCATTGTATTTGAAAACATCCATATTTACTTGTTTGATAAATATTGTTACAAATACTAAAATCTGTGATTAAATAATGGGTAATAAGGCAACAGGATAAAAAAGAAATGTCTGTATCTGTATATTTAAATTATTTCTCTAAAATATTTCATCTTATTTTCTCTTCCAGGATAGTTAAATTTTTGGCTTTAATTATATTATATCCTATTTTCTGAAGTCATAAGGCAGGAAGGATCTCTTGTTTTAGATCTGTGGCAATATTTAAGATACCCTATTGAGATCATAGTAAGATGAAGCAATGAAATAACTGACTAAAAATATATATATATTTTTAAGTAATGTTTTGAATATTCTGGTACATGTCTATACATCTTGGTAGAATCTCTGCATAATTCAAATTCACACCGTGGTTTATTTCCTCTTCGAGACTTAAACAGTAGCCAGTGTCCTGACAAAAGATGAAGTATTAGCTATTCCTGCATTTAAACAGAAACCACTCTGTTTCCAGATTTCTACTCTTTTTTGTTTTCAGGTTCTCCATATCAGGAAAATTACTAAATTTTAATAATTGACTGAAGTTTTATCCTATTTTGGTTTTGGTGTAACTCAAAGATTTCACAAACTTAAATGAATTCATTCATTTTCCTTAATAAAGTTCAGGCAACTATGACCAGGGCTAAGAATTAAGTCAGGTTTGAGACCAGGTTTCTGCCCTGATCTGGCTTGTAAGTTAATTAAATGAATTACAAACATTTAAAGAGTAGCCATGACAGATATTAAATTGCTTTTAATTACGCCGGACGTTAAAACCTGCTTCCCGTTTGACATCTCAGGTTGTTTCACAACGCAAAGAGTGTTGTGAGATTCCTCTTCATAGTTTCCATTAGGAATGTGATCGTGTCTTAATTTGGATCTGAATGTAATCTTACCATGTGGTTGCATCCGTAGATGACTCTTTAAGCTTAAATTATCACTTATTTCCCTTTGACACTTTTTTTTCCCCGAGAGCCTTAAACGCTGCCCAGCCATTGAAATATACCACAACCAAAACTGACTAATTAGACTTGAATATTACAGAAGTTAAATTTCCAAAACTTTCCAGAAAACCCATCTAAACATGAACTGTGTGCTCAGTGGAAATGATGTTAATACTGACAATTTATCCTTGTTACTCTCAGATAACGATGGGAGGGTATATGTGTTAACAAGAGCACAACATTTTGATGCACTGCTTGTCTTTGAGCCACTGACAGAAAAGAGGATAATTATTAAATGAAGAGTGCATGTGCAGACTCATAGACATAGAATGCAAACTTGTGGTTGCCAGGGGGCCGGGGGGTGGGAAGGGACAGACTGGGATTTCAAAAAGTAGAATAGATAAACAAGATTGTTCTGTGTAGCACAGGGACATATACACAGGGTCTTGTGGTGGCTCACAGTGAAAGAGAATGTGACAATGAATGTATGTATGTTCATGAATAACTAAAAAATTGTGCTCTACCCTGGAATTTAACACAACATTGTAAAATGACTATAACTCAATTAAAAAAAGTTTAAAAATTAAATTAATTAATTAATTAAATTAAAAAGGTTAAAAAAAAAAGAGTGCACGTGAAGGGGGACCGTTACTGGATTCTGTGAACAGGAAGGGTCCCTGTGATGAGGGAGAAGCACTGGCAGGGAGCATCCCAGGCAAAGTCTAATGTTCACAGTTGTCTGATGATACAGTGAGTCAGCATGTGCACTGTGCTGCCGTCTCGCGTCTTACTGAGCTCTCCCTCCTCTGCCGTCTGCAGCTGTAAGCACAAGATGTACCTGGAAAGGCTGCCGAACACCAGCATTATCATCCCCTTCCACAACGAGGGCTGGACGTCGCTCCTGCGGACCATTCACAGCATCATCAACCGGACCCCGGAGAGTCTGGTAGCGGAAGTCATCCTGGTGGACGACTTCAGTGACAGAGGTAAGAGGCGGTTCCTAATGTTTTATGTGATTCTGTCGCCTCCTACGTAATCGTTCCGGGCTTTGTGAGAAAGGCAGGTGATGGTCGTGATGGTTTTGTTCTGGTTCTATCTCAGAGGTGGTTATGAAGTTTTATCTTTGTTGTGATTGCATAAAAGTTTGGCCAAATGCAAAGAGGGTTGAGTGAGAAGTTGTTGGTGTCGTTTGGGGTCCTATTAGAAATGCGTGTCACATTTCTGCTGCAAATTAGACAGGTGTTGGCGATTTTCCTTTCAGTTTCAGAACGAACACTGTAAAATATGTTACGGTGAGTACGTGTGAATGGTGAACTATTCCAGCAGAACTGTAAAATCTGTTCCCACTTCTGCAAAGCGTATGCTCTGCTATTTACCAGTATGATGCATTCCCCAGGCTGTGTTTGGGTTACTTCATAAATACTAGAAATTATAAGTAACGCAAATGAATATTTTCACTTGGCAATTATTGCAGTTTTATTGCATCTGAACAGTCACAACAATGAAGACGCCTGGAGTAACAGTGTTTTTAGAAAATTTGGTGTCAGTTTTAATGTTGTTACTATTTTGATGAATGCATTTGGGTTTATAAACCAGGGGGGAAAGATTATACAAAGTTTCCTGAGAGTAAGACTTGATAATTGGCATTCGTTCTAAATGTGGGGATTGTTAATACCGCAGGGAAAGTAAAAATCCTCCTTTCTTTGCTGGTGTGAGTGGAAAGGGGAAACCTTTTCTAAAGATGATCATCTGCTTGGAATGTGATCTTCTGCCTTCTGGTCCATTGCATGAAGGAGTTTGCTTAATGCTACTGCATGCGTGTAGGAGAGGGTGGCCATAAACACATGGGCATGTGACTCTCACGTCTTACAGGAGAACGCGTCTGGAGGTCCTGTAGGTTAACCAAGGTTTTGGAAATTTCATTTGCAGCACAAATGTCATTTTCTTCACGGTACTCAAAAATTCTATAAAAGTGAAACTGCTTGGTGTGTTAGTTTTCAGGTTCCTTGAACAGTTCTGTCTGGAGTGATTCACTTCAAATACTGATTCTGGGTTGGCCGACTCTTTATATGTGTTGAAGTTCATATGACAAAAAGCAGGTAGTCAAATGTCATTCTATTGAAATAGCAGACTGCCAACTTGGTACTTCAGGTGGATTTCAAAGCAGTGTTCGCCTTGCATTGCTTGGGTAGATACGCATTCAGTAAATATCTGAATAGGTATCTAATAAGTACCTATAATTAAGTTTATTCTTTGAAATTAATTTGAATAACCCATTGGTTTCTTTTTTATTTTCATGGAGACTCCTTGTCTCAAAGTCGTCATTAATACCTAAGGCTAAAAACAGTCATCTCGTGTGTTAAAGCTAAAACTTTGCTTTTAAGTAAGAGAGTGAAAAAGGGAAGGAAGATCTGGGGGCTGCGCACCACCAAATCAATGACCTGGTTTCGGTCAGCTGGTACCAGGAGAAAGAAGGCAGTGTCTCGGTGGAGGATTTTCTGTGTAATGAACTTCGTCTTGGTAGACTATTGACTACAGCAGAATTCTGACCTGGGGGGAATATGGTAGGAAACACTTGGCGGCAGAAATTGTGGTTTGTAGAGCACGTTTTGCTGAATATTTCTTAATGGTGTTTTCAATGGAAAGTCTCTAAAGAGGGTAAAAATCATGGCATCTGAATTTGTCTTGATTTCAAATCATTGCCATCTTCTATGTGGTAGCAGCTTCGATGGGACTGTCCCTTCTGCGTACGATGTTGCCCAGGAAGGACGTGTGTTCCGGAAGATGATTGGTGTCATTGGTGTTCGTGAGGTGAAACAGCAGAGGAAGGACTAGTTGGGAGAGTGATGGTGATTTTTACGTTTCCTATTGGACATTCTTACGGATAATCATTATTTTAATGCTTTTGTGAATCTTTCATTTAGGTATTCTGTTCCTATGAACTGTCAAGTGGAAAACAGCATTTTATGATCATTCAGCTTTCAAAAGGGAAATTTTTTTGAACATTGCATTTCATTTTACTAACCTGCCAACATGTGGAAGAGTAAGGTTTGAAAGAAATATGTGCTAAAAATACTTGCGTAATCTTTTAGACTATATCGTTAACTCTGAAGTTGCACGGAATAGGGAAAGCCCTTCTTGCAAATTTTGTTTCAGATCACACAGTCTCACCTGATAAAATATTAGGGTTTAGGTGAACTGAAAGCATCACTTCTGCTTTCTGAATTGTGGGGGATGTAGAGAGTCCATGGGACACACGCAGGTTAGAATCCAGCACCCGCTGTAAACTGTGTGACGCTGGGTCAGTTCGCCTCTCAGACTGCTTATCAAACTGGGGATCAGTAATTCCTTAGTTGTCTGAGGGAATACCTCGGCTGGGAGAGGTTGTGGGAGGAGCGCTACCGGAGCTGTGCTTCACAGGAGGTGACTGCTCTAAGCCCCGACTGCTCCTCACCAAGTGCTGTCCTGGACCACGGCATCAGGAGTCTCTGTGCTTCTGGGAGGAGGCCCTCTCAGTGGAACCAAATCTAATTCATAGGAATCTGTCTTCCTTCCTTCCTCCCTCCCTTCCTCTTTTCTCCTTCCTTTCTTTCTTTCTGTCTATCCATCCATCCATTTATCCATCTGTGGCATGCTGGAAAAATTAGGACCGCATTAATATTAAAAAAAAACCACTAATTTTACCAAGAAGCAGATAGTTTATACAGATATTGAAGAAAAATTAAATTCTAGAGTTTTATCAAAAGGAGGATAAATGGAGCATGTTCCCTCCCTAAATTATATGCGTGGCCTCACAGGAGTGCTGATCACAATTCCTTTCAGGACTCTTGTTACTCTTCCAAGAGAAGGAAGATATTCCAAGGCCCCTTAGACAAAGAAGTTTTCTCTGCTTTTAGGCAGATATTATGTGTAGCTGTGCTGTTAGAAGCCAGGATACTTTATACTATTTTTTTTTTGGCAATCCAGAAATCAGAAGCCTATAACATGTAGTCTTTTTCACTAATTCTTAAAAAAATCAAGCTAAGTAGCCTAGACCAATTTTAAACTACAAGAAAACATAGGGGATTTTTTTGGCCTCCTTTAGGAACTTATTTCTGAAATGTTACACTTCATACTTATTTTCAGAAATATATTCCAGCTGCAAGTCTGTATGCTTTTTAACACCTTTGCCAACAGCACTTCTGAATATTCTTAATGTCCTTTGGCTAAAGGCAATAAAACTTGGACAGGACTTAATCAAATATTATTGCTTTATAGTTTATGTCCTCTAGGTCAACAGAATAATTTCATGTGGGGGAAGGAAAAAAAGGGAAAGCCAATGCGTTAGCCATGCTAACAGCACACATGCTGTATCACTTGGGGCCCACAGCTCCAAAAATGGGCTCGTGCCAGTGACGGGTGAGTTCTGTACTACTGGTTTCGTAACAATAGAGAAAAAAATGCTAAAGACTTTTAGGATGATACAAGAAGTATAAATATTACAAAATGAGTTTCAAAAATCTGCTTGAATTGAGCCCATTGACCTAGTTATCAGAATGCTTAAAAAAAAAAAAGTGAACACCCGATCTAAGCCCTTCTCGGTGCAGACACCTTCCTGGGGCGAGCTTGGTGAGCAGAATGTTGTTTTGGTCTCAGCACATACGCCTGCTGTCTGTTAAAGCAGGAAGGTGCCGGCCTGCAGGTAAGTTTTCAGAGCCAACGCCATGTCTTGCTTTCTGAAACTGACCAAAGTTAGGGAATCTGTGTATTTCTTCCCAGGAAGCGCTCAGAAATGCGTTTAATGACTTCACTCGAAGCCTCTCACAAGGCCTCATGATGGCTTGAAAGCAGGACTAATCCTGGGCTTATCTCCAAATCCCAGGCAGCCTTCACAGCAGCCACGTGGAAAATGTGGAAACGTGAGAGCTAAGCCGGGATTTCACCTCGGACACAGGGCGTATCTGGACCCGACGGCTCCCTGACCTCTGTGTGCTTAGAGGAATGCAAGTTCAAACCGAGGGAATGCACAGGAGCGCCGGGGACAGGCTTCCCTCAGCGCAGGTGCAGGGGCGCTCCTGTGCCCTGGGTGTCTGCACAGGCCCGTGTGCACACACATACTTACACACACACACACACACACACACACACACTCACTCTCGCCCTGCTTCTTTCAAACTCCCTGCACAGGAAAGATAGATTAGCTGAGTGTTTGAGTTTCACAAACACCTGTCATTCGCCATGTTCTAGTTAGAGGGAAAAACCAGAAACTTGAACTTGAGCCTACCAATCTGGCAAAGTCAGCAATTTTAAAGAAACCTAGTTCACTCCTCCTCAGAACACGGAGATCCTCACTCCTCATCATGTGGTCCCGGGACCGAAAACACCAGCACTGGGCTGAGGCTTAACAGAAATGCAGACTCTCAGGCCCCATCCGGATGCCTCAGCGTTTCCACTTCAGCAAACCCGAGGTGTAACGTGTATACACACCAAGGTTTCGGAATAATGGTCACCTGCCTCAGAATGGGGGTTGAAGCGTCAGTGAGAAATCAGATGCATAAAAAGCATCACTTCAGAAATCTTTCTCTTGTGCGTGTTATTACAACACAGGTCCTTCTATTATTATTTGACATTTCATTGGTATCGCCTGTGTCAGCCTGTAAAGGAGAGCTGGAGGTGGGAATTCTGTAACATTGCCCGCACACTGTTTTATGCAGCATTTGTCATTGCACGTCTTTGAGAGATTCTGGCCTTTTCACAAATTTGTAGTCGTTTACTCTGCCTTCTTCTGACTCATTTCGTAGCATTTTGTGTTTAATGTCGGCTCACGGCTGTTCACCCTCCCTTGCCCGTCTTTCTTTGTTCTACAAATGTGCCTTCCCGTATTTTGTAGGTCTGTTTTTCTTTGAAATTATTTAATCATTTTTCCTGCCAAATTTAGAAACCATATGTATGCGGATACACTCAATTTCTTTAAAGATCCCTATGACCATAAGAATCTTACTCTTCG